CCCCCCCCCCCACCCCCCGCCCCTCGGTAACCACTAGAGGGGGATTGGGGCAGATGGTCAGGTGGCAGAAAGTAGAAGGGTTGTATATTATGCACCATTGGGGGTGCAGCAGTTGAGGGACATTGTGAAAGATATTGGGCTGTGTGCTCCCGGGGACAGTCCTAGGGAGCTGTTCCGAATGGTCAGTCAACAGAGGGAAATACATGGTTTAGATAACGCTGAGGAAAGAAAATTAATAATACCATGGCTGCACCCACATCTACACTCTGCCTTACCAGAAGAGCAGAAAGCTGGTGGAGGCACAACTCGGGCTTTAAAAGACCAAGAGTTAAATATCACAGGCACTAACAGAGGGGACCCAGTGGAGGAGCTGATAAAGTGCTACCAAAGGAAAGGTGAACACCCCACTGCATTTACTGGACGCCTTTGGGTAGTGTTTCAGGGGGTATATGGTACAGCCTTGGATAGGAACAATCTCGAGGTAGTGGGTAGGAATCTAAGGCAGTGAATGTTAGTGTTACATGACACTGAGGAGACCAGGAAGGCGTTAGTGCAGTTTGATCCCACTGAGGAAATAAGCACACAGAGGCCTGGGTAATGTGGAAGATGGTTAGAGCATGGGAAAAAGAAATGACAAAACTTCCCAAGGCCTTTGGCGTACAGGATGACACCTGTTAAAGATCAGGCAATAATCTGGAGAAATGAAGGGGGAAGATCTACTCGGAGGGCACACCCCCAGTCTCAGTCGTGGGAGGAGGGAGAGGTAGATGGAATGTCTCAGGAACTGGGAGAACTCAAGGCGGGGTGTCCAGGTGCTACAATTATGACCAAGAGGAATATTTTTTGAGAGAATGCCTGAATATGAGACGTGAAAATGCGGGTTAGGTGTGTTGGTGCCTACCTGTAGACGGACCGAGTGGACCTAACTCTCAGTGTGATGTGACGGAGACACTACCGTCGACGGGGATGTACCCTGAACTGCAACGAGAGCCACAGGCCTCTCCGTCCTGGGTGTGATGTGCCGTGGGACAAAACAGGGAGACCCCTAGTGAGTGGTAGCGTCGGAGACTGCTCTGTTTACATTCCTTGGGGATCCTGAATCACCATCAATACCACCCAGATCAATGACACACATTGGCAAATTCAAACTTAAACTATTTTAACTGGATTTACAGGACATTCACAAGTGGGACATGTTGGTGCTCAGTTTGGGAGATGTAGCATTGGAACATTCAGTATTACTTCTCAATTTGCCCAGTGAAGAAGAACATGTTTTAGGGAGCGATTGCATGGTAAAATCAGGACGCTGTTTCGATCCTGTTAACTGCATGTGTTTGTAAATACCTGTAGATATGAGCAGTGTAAACAGCACACTTATTCCCGATGGGGAATATCAGGACAGGATATGTACGGTTGGGGAATTGTGGATAAAGCCAGAAGAGATGAGTGACGATCATGAAGTGTAACGGCTCATTGTCCGGCACTCAGCATTATGAGCCCGACATAAACATGACTGTGGGAAGATGGCTGGGAGTGTGTCTATACAGGGCCCAGACCCCAATCCAAAGGAGCAGTATGGTTTTCCGAAACAGGCAGAGGAAGAGGAAGGGAAGGTGACACCGAGTCTGACACAAGGGATAGTCAGACCGGTAACTTCCATTAATAACTCATCTATTTGGCCGGTGAGGAAACTGGACAGAATCTGGTGATTAACAATAGATTACCGAGCATTAAACAACACCTCCCCATTAACAGCCCCCACTGCAGCGATTAGCCCAGAGACAGGGGTTAAGCAAAATAGGGACACACAGTCATTCATTGTTTTGGAAATAAGCAACGGGTTTTGGTCCATACCACTGGAAAAGGAGTACCAATACAAATATGTATTCACTTTCCAAGTCCAGCAATATACGTGGAAAGCCCTGTCACAGGGATTACATTCGGGTCAAAAGTGGGGGTTCAAAAGGTTTTCAGAACCTGAGTATTTAGTGCAGTGTGTAGATGAACCTTGGTAGGCTGCATTTGGAGTATTGTGTGCAGTTTTGTTCGTCTTATTACCAGAAGGATGTGGAAGGTTTGGAGACACTGCAGAGAAGATTCACTAGGATTTTGCCTGGTCTTAAGGGCATTGGCTATGATGAAAAAGACTAGGATTGTGTTTACTGGAAACACGGTGGCTGAGAGTAGTCCTGATAGAGCTCGACAAAATTATGACCAGCATGGATAAGGTAGATATTCAGAGGCTTTTTCCCAATTTTGACGTTTCAAATTCAAGGGGGCAGG